CCGTAAAGGTGTATGATATTCTCACGTATTGATTCACGGATGGAAAAATGTGATGACACTATATTCCGGGATATCATCCGTTCGCTCGTTGAACTCCGACTGGAATCCTGCATCCGACTGGAATCCTGCAAATCCTGCATCCGACTGGAATCCCGCAGACGTTTCGCCAAAATCTCACTTGGCATCTTCAATGCTCGCGCTCCGAAAACACTTCGAACACTGGGAGGTTATCGGTGGTGCGTGCGGTATTTATACTCTGCGCCGGAGATGGTAACGACGCTGCTTGTGCGTGGGGGGAGGTGGCTCCGCCCCCTGAATTGTCGCGTTGTTAATTTCGCCCGATCGTAGTTGCGATGTCCCCGTTATCTGCTGCGCTTCGCTCTGCTGTTTGATTATCGTTCTCCACGTGTTGGATAAATGCAGAGCGTCGTCTCTCGTATTGAGGTGTCCGGACTTTTCTATTTCGATGGCCTCTCGTATAATCCTTATAAGAAACAAACAAACAACATCTGCTTTGTTTCAGCACCAACATCAGACAGGCCATAAAATTGATTTCGGCACTTGCAAACAAATAGCTAATATTCCTGATTTTAGGACTAGGATTATACGAGAGGCCATCGAAATAGAAAAGTCCGGACACCTCAATACGAGAGACGACGCTCTGCATTTATCCAACACGTGGAGAACGATAATCAAACAACTACGATCGGGCGAAATTAACAACGCGACAATTCAGGGGGCGGAGCCACCTCCCCCCACGCACAAGCAGCGCCGTTACCATCTCCGGCGCAGAGTATAAATACCGCACGCACCGCCGATAACCTCCCAGTGTTCGAAGTGTTTTCGGAGCGCGAGAATTGAAGATGCCAAGTGAGATTTTGGCGAAACGTCTGCGGGATTCCAGTCGGATGCAGGATTTGCAGGATTCCAGTCGGATGCAGGATTCCAGTCGGAGTTCAACGAGCGAACGGATGATATCCCGAATATAGTGTCATCATATATTTATATATATATATATATATATATATATATATATATATATATATATATATATATATATATATATATATATATATATATATATATATATATATATATATAGACATATATATATATATATATATATATATATATATATATATATATATATATATATATATATATATATATAATATAGACATATATATATATATATATATATATATATATATATATATATATATATATATATATATATATATATATTTACAAAAAACCATATTCCAAAGTATTTGCAGCAAAGACTGCATTTTAGCATAGATGTCAAACTGTCGTTTTCCTTCTATATTATAACACTATTTTGAACTATTCAAAAATAGTTCATAAATTTCCGGCTAAAATGAATCAAAATATGAATTTATTTAAAAAAAAAATATTTAATTTAAAAAAAAAGAGCAGTAATATATTTAAACTCTAGTATAAATTAAGAACTGAAAATGAACCAATACAAAAATATAATAACCTTTATCAGCATTTACCTATTTAATTGATCTCGCGAAATCTACGATATTTCAGGCTTCTTACTTTGTATTTTATGTTTTCCTTTTAATTCATTTATTTTATTGAAGTTAATGTGCCTAAGCAGCTTTTGTGTATAAATAAACTTGTCAAGGCGACCAATATATATATATATATATATATATATATATATATATATATATCTGTGTGTGTGTTCGAAGTGTTTTCGGAGCGCGAGCATTGAAGATGCCAATTGAGATTTTGGCGAAACGTCTGCAGGATTCCAGTCGGAGTTCAACGAGCGAACGGATGATATCCCGGAATATAGTGTCATCATATATATATATATATATATATATATATATATATATATATATATATATATATATATATATATATATATATATATATATATATATATATATATATATATATATATATATATATATATATATATATATATATATATATATATATATATAT